CCCCCCCTTTTTTTTTTTTTAAAAGAAATCTTCCTGCTGCCCCTACCTCCACTCTAGCTTTCTGACTTAGGTCTGGAGTAGGCCTCATGGTTCTTGTTAACAGTTCTACGGAGAACTCTTTGTACAAGTAGAATTAAGAGTCACTGGATTCAATATTTAAGATCCTTAGCTTAAGTGTTTTTCTTCTGCCTGTTGGTATTGATATTATTAGTTATAGAGAGCATTTCTTATACAGAAAGTTCAAGATTTTTCATGCTGTTATGAAGGGTGGAGTGGAAAGTTTCTTTTCTTTGTTTTGGATAGGTGTACTAGAGTTAATAATTTTTTTTAAATGTTTGGTCCAGGTTTTCAAATTGATGTTAAAGTACAGGAATAATAATTTCTTAGCACTCTCAGCTGCAAGATTTTTCTTGCAGACATTCTACTATCAGTTTGCAATAATAAAAGGATGCTTACATTCGCCTTCAGCCAGTTGGAGGAGCAAGATATTTTGGTATTTCATCTTTCTTGCACACATTTTTCTTCATCCTTTTTATGTTCTTTGTGTTTTCTGGATAGAATGTGATTTGTGTGTATGTATGTGTGTGTGGATGTTCATTGTACAAGATTTTGGAGTATTCCCTTATGGTGAAATTTTGAATTAGGAAAGTTGAAATTTTACTTTTAATTCATTTCACAGGATGGAAAGAATTTCTTAATGGGACTTTTTCCTGAATGATTCTAGTGAAATAGAGTTCTTATTATTTTGTTTAATGCTATGAGTGTTAGTTACACAATAGACTCACAAAGATTGATATTATAATCTAAGCTTTATTATCCTTCCCTGTATTATGCATATTTTATAAACTTTTTTTTCCAAAGATATAATATTTTTCCCAAAACGGTCTTAACGTTTTCTAACAGTCCTATTAACTGTCAATCTCTTTGCCATTTTATTTAACTATTTTCAAGTTCTTAATCGTTTTTGTACATAAAATCAATAGCTTTCAGTCGTTAATTACTGCACCATTTTGCTCTTCTAATACTAACTGTACATTTATACTGAACTGACTGTAGAATTTCAACATTGATTAAAAAGCAAATAGAGGTTTTTATTCCAAGTTACATCAATAATGTATGTCTGTATTTGAAAGTATTTTGATATTAAAAATAAATATGAATGACATGCCTTATTCATACTGTTGACATTGTTACACTGATAAACATAACAATAACCTCACACAGTAATTGATTGACACACTAAGTTCAGGGATGCCAAAAATGATACAAAGTAGTGATTGGATTATAAGACCAAGGCCTGAATGAACTTTGTTCCTAGTTTTGTTTTTTTTGTTTGTTTGTTCTTCCATGAAAAGATTAAGTAATTGTTATAAACATCCTCTGGCTTACAAAGCCCCATGTCGTCTAGGCTTCTGCTTGTTCATCTTCTACCACTGTTTCTAATACCTGCTGTGTTCCAGCCTCACTAGCCTTTTTCATTCTTGACCTTTACGCTAGGTGTTTGCTCTGCTAGACACTTTCCATTGATTTTTAGATTCAGTTTCAGTGTGACCCCCTCAGGGCATTTCTCTGTCTACCAGTCCAAAGTGGCTTAACCATATCTTAATTTTTGCATGTCCTATATCTGACTTTTTAGTTGTTTATTTTCTCCACCCACTATAATGCAAGTTCTGCAGGTTAGATTGTAAGTGTCTGTCTGGATCAGTGCCTAGCACAAAGAAGGTGCTACATAAATTAGCTGTTTAACTGGTGAATGGATTCTTAAGGTGTGTGCACCCCGTTACCAATCACAAAGTACTTTAATGTATATTACTTCATTTTATTTTTAAAGCAAGCTTCTTAGAAGTAGGTGACACTGGTCTTGCTATCTTTGTACTCTCCCCCATTCATTCATTCATTTAGCTGTTTATTTGTTGCTGCTGGTATCTTTGTGTGTTTGTTGCTTTTACATTTGTTTTAAATGATGAAATAACTTGAGGCTGTCATTTGCCCATGATCACAATCATGATACGTTAAAGGGGACTTGAAAACCTTAAGTCTTGTCCTAGTTTTCATTTCATCAGTTACTTTCTACTACACATCAATAATATTAAGGGAAAGTTCTCTGAAAATATAATCCATGTCAGTTAATTTCAGTTAATATGTAGATTGCTTCAAAGTTCTTCTATTGTACTTGTAAAATATGTGCTTCTACATAAATCATTCAGTGAAATTTGAGCTCATTTTGCTTTGATAGCAAGTTTTTAAGTATTCTTTTGCTAGGGAACAAAGAATGGTCAAGAAAGTGGAGTTGAAATTGGAATTGACACAATTCAGTTTGGTGCTCCAGCTTCAAACGGGAATGAAAATGAAATTGTTCCTGTGCTTTCGGAGAAAACTACTGACAAAATACCTGAACCTAAAGAACAGCGGCAGAAGCAGCCACGGGCAGGCCCTATCAAAGCCCAGAAGGTAAATATAATTCGTATTCCAGATACAATTGTATGAAAGTCACTAATACTTATGGAGAACAAATAACAGTTTTAAAATTGAATTTAGTTTTCAGTGAATGTCTTGGATCATGAGGCCTTTTTGTCATAAACAATAAATTTAGCTTCCAGATTTGAGTCCAGTAGAAAACAAGGAACATAAGCCTGGTCCTATTGGAAAAGAACGTTCATTAAAAAATAGAAAAGTAAAAGATGCCCAACAGGTGGAGCCAGAAGGACAGGAGAAACCAAGTCCTGCTACAGTCAGAAGCACAGATCCTGTGACAACAAAGGAAACTAAAGCAGTTTCAGAAATGTCTAGTGAAATAGGAACAATGATCTCAGTCTCATCCGCAGAATATGGCACGAATGTGAAGGTAAGCAGCACGCAGTGACTACCAGTTCCTTTGGGCAAACCACGTCTAAAATGAGTGGGGAAAACAGCAATGATATGCTTTTTTTTTTTTATTTGAGGCACATAATTCTACAGACTATATGGGTTATTATTTCTACAGAGAAGATTTTATTTCATGGTGTGCATATGTAATGTAAAAAATTTCTTAGAGTAAATTATTTCTGTGGAAATTTACTCTTAATTCTGAACTACTGAGTAGTTAAAGTGAAAAATGTCTACACAGGTTTAGAATTCCTTTCGTTGGGTTTGTGGGCTTTGAAAAAATTGTTCTATATTACTTTTTATTTTGTTAATGGCATTACAGTGGAGCCTTATCTTGCCTTCTGGTGAGATTTTAAAGTCAGGAAATAAGACAAACTTCTAGTAACTCCAGTATAGGCAGTTTTCTTGCAGGGTTGGAACAGATCACTGGTTCCTTGGTTGAGCATCAGAGGAAGTAGTTGACTTGCGTTTAGGAACCACACTGAATGAAAGATGCATATGTTTAAAAGTACTCCTTAAAGCAAAATACACTGAGTGACTTATAGGAACTAACACTTGTGGGAAAGCAAATATTTATCTGCCATTTCATGTTCACTCTGGGACATGTACTCATTTAGAAGAAAGGTAGATGGAATTTTTCATGTTATTTGAATATTTTTCTCTTTAATTGCCAAACAACTCAATACATGTAAGTAAAAAGCTCATGTGGTCCAAATATACCATATTTAAAGAGATTGATGATAAACAAGTTTATTGTAAATCCCTAATTAATTGTGACAACCAAGATCCTGACATTCATTTTCCATGTTGTTTTATTTTAAAGAGAAAAATTCAATGGTTGAAAGTAAGGTATAGGTTGAGTATGAGAACCACACAAAGAGTTCTTTTAGTAATCCACAGAAATAAATATTTGGTACTGTTGACAACCTCCTAGTACTATGCAATGCATTCTTAAAAATGTACAGGATCCTAGCAATAGTTGAAATGTTATCACTTCAGTGATGGGTCCGTGTTTGTTTTATCCCACTGTTAGTCTTTAAGTTAAGATTTGAGTGAGTTGAGTCTTAAGGTCTGTTCTCTCCTGCTTTCTTCCAAAACAACTTTATAACTGTTAGGCTGTCATTAGAAGGTGACTCCTTAATAATTCAGTTTAAAACATATTTTTTTCTATTACTTCTCCACAGGAGTCTGTAACAGACTATACTACACCTTCTTCTTCTCTGCCTAACACTGTGGCTACTAATAATGCAAAGATGGAGGATACTTTAGTTAATAATGTAAGTAACCAACCTGAGATGTGGCAAGTTTGTATAGGAACCTGGCTACTGTTATCTAATACATACTGTATGACCAGTATTTAACTCTTCTCGGGGAAAGAGTTGATAATAAATTTGTATTTAGGAGCACTGTAATATGATTAAAATTAGCAAAAATAGTCAAAGTTGTTTTTATTTTTCCCCCAAAGTCATCAGCTTTCTATTTAAGATCCAGGCTTGTGGTGCTTAGGCTTGGTTTCATAAGTACTAATCCTATTAACCTAGTTTCAATAAGAATTTTTGTTCTTAGCTTTCACATTCTACAGATTCAACATTCTATTTGGTTGATAACTTTGTTCTTAAACGCAGTGAAAGCTCACTCAATTAAAACAAAAAGACAATTACAGTGTTACCAAAGATTCAGGTATTTCTTTTCGAATGCTAAACCTTAACAACATTCATGTTTTGAAGATTGAGCTATAATGTATATGTAAGTACTTCAGAAACTCTTAAGTGCTCTATTAAAGGTGATAGTAAGTCATGTAAATTTGGTGCTAGTTTCCCAGAGCAACCGTACTATAATTCAAGATTGTGTTAAAAGTCAGTACAGTCCGTAATTTTGCCTAGTTCACTGACTGACAAGTGAAAAATTATAAGCCAAAAAAAGATAGGTAACCTGCCATGGTGGTAGAGCATTTTAGAATATACATGTATGGCCCTTGTTTTGGAGGACAGGTGTGGTGGAAATTTGGTCAGCTGCTCTCATTTTTAAATATAGCCCTCTGTAATAAGCAAAGGCTTATTCTTTTCAAAAATATCCTTTACAGATACGTTTAAAGGTCTCTTACACAGGGCTTTTCATTTGGAGAATAAAAATCTCAATTATGTCTTCTTACAATGTTTCTTTTATGTTGTCTGTTCTTCCTTCTAGCATCAAATATATAAAATTTTAGAGAGATGAGATGCTTTAGGGATCATTTAATCAGGCTTTTGTGATCCAGGTGAAGGAGTCTTAATATGTAGCTGAGGAAAAGGGAAAAAGGAGTGAGTCACAAATTTTCTCTTTGTGATGGGAAATCAGCTCTTTAGGAGCTGATTAATGTAATTCATCCAGCTTTCAGATATTATAAAACTTCACTTCATGTGCCAAATCCTTTTCCTCTGACCTTTTGGAGAAAAGTTATTTATTTATTTTTTTTCCCCCAAAGCCCCAGTAGATAGTTGTATGTCATAGCTGCACAGCCTTCTAGTTGCTGTATGTGGGACGTGGCCCCAGCATGGCTGGAGAAGCGGCGCATCGATGCGCGCCCGGGATCCGAACCCGGGCCGCCAGCAGCACAGCACACTCTTAGCCACTAAGCCACGGGGCCGGCCCCTAGACTATTTCTTAGATGTTACTTTTTCAAGAAAAAGTATATGGTGCTTTCTGCCAAACTATCCTCTAAAAATATAACTTGTGAAATATGAATAAGGAAGCAAAGCTCATTATTCTCAGAACCCTTACAAGTCATTAGGAGTATCCATATGGGGGCCAGCCCCGTGGCTTAGCGGTTAAGGGCGCGCGCTCTGCTGCTGGCGGCCCAGGTTCGGATCCCGGGTGCGCACCGACGCACCGCTTCTCCGGCCATGCTGAGGCCGCGTCCCGCATACAGCAACTAGATGGATGTGCAGCTATGACATACACTATCTACTGGGGCTTTGGGGGAAAAAATAAATGAATAAATAAAATTTAAAAAAAAAAGAAGTATTCAGATGAGCATTTTAATGATTTCTTTGTGTGATCTGAGAGACTAATTACCATAGTGACTTGTGCACAGACGACTGCTGAAGGGAAGAGACCTTGTCTGGTGTATAAGTGAATAGTCTACATTTGATTTTTAGCAGTCTGTCCAACGTATGTTTGAAAACAGGAAGATCAGTTTGGGTCAGGGAGCGTTATAAATGGTCATCAATTTGGAATGATTTCACAATGTTGCTTATTTGTGCCGAGTGTGGTGTGAATCTGAACTTAGTATAGTGTTAAAAACAAATATCCTACATGGGAAAAATTGGGAGTCCTTTTGAAATGTTATTTTTTCATTCATAGTCTTTTTGGGGGTCCCATTTCTTACGTAGAACTTTTGTCTTTTAAAAAAATTATGCTTAGGGGCCGGCCCCGTGGTGTAGCTGTTAAGTGCACGTGCTCCACTGCTGGCGGCCCAGGTTCGGATCCCAGGCGCGCACCGATGCACAGCTTGTCAGGCCATGCTGTGGCAGCGTCTGGCGGCGTCCCATATAAAGTGGAGGAAGATAGGCACAGGTGTTAGCCTAGGGCTGATCTTCCTCACCAAAAAAAAAATTATACTTGAAAAAGGCTTATTCCCCTAATTGAGGCTTAATACACTTTTTTAGGATCTTAGCCGATATTTATTGGTTAGTGTTACCTAATAGTACAATCGTTTTGAATTTTGGATGTCTTAAAGATTTAAATGCAGGTGGTGTTTTTGATTATTATACCACAGCTGTTTTAAAGATTTATAAAATAATCTCCATTAAGTAGTCCATGGTATTATAAATCTCTCTTAAATAGCCTGTAGTATCACAAAATGATTATCTTAAAACCCCCAAGCATCCCAGTCATTTTACCTGAACAACTGAGTGAACCATCAATATCAATCATATAGTAATACATAATAAAATCTCAAGATCCAGAGACTTAGAGGAAAGAAAGAGATATGAGTAGTGAGTTTCTAATATCTTCAAGTTTCTAACAATATTTGCCATGATCATGTTATTACTATAGCAAAGCAGTTTGTTTAGTGTTACGAGGTGGGGGTGATATTCCATGCTTCCATTTGGATCTCATAAATGGTGGAAATTATATTCCTTAGAGTTTTGCTGCACAATATATGGTCCAGGGACTAGCAACATCAGCATCACCTGGGAGCTTGTTTGAAATGCAGAATTTTAGGCCTTACCCCAGACCAACTGAATCATAATCTGCATTTTAGCAATATCCCCAGGTGATTTCATATACACATTAAAATATGAGAAGCACTGTCTTCGAATGTTTACCTTATATTTGGGACAGATTCTTTTTCTGTCCATTTATGCATAAAAAGGCAGATAGTATTTCTCTGCAGAAGTTTTATCTCAGACGTCCAAAATTATCAGTTACTATAAACACAGTGTAACTCTAAGTAATCAAATATTCCTGTTGGCTCTGATGAAAAATAAACACCCTTAGAGTTCGTTAGCAGTATCTTTAATGGGGCTTTTGTAGCAGACTTAGTTAGATTGTGATATGTGTTGCCTACCTTTTCAGGTGCCCCTGCCCAACACCCTTCCCCTCCCTAAGAGAGAGACTATACAACAGAGCTCCAGCCTAACTTCAGTTCCTCCCACTACTTTCAGCCTCACCTTTAAGGTATGTACAACATCCATCTCTAAAGGTCTTTGATTATTGCATGCAAGGGGACATAAATTAACAGTATTCTTTTGGTATTTTTACTAGTTTTGTGTGGTAAGCAGCAATACTAAGCTGAGGAAATGGAGTGATGTCAAATTATACCTTAAAATTTTATTGGCTTCTAATAGCACTTAGCAGTGACTTGATGTCCTCATATTAAAAGTGAGGCCTATTATGCTTGTGAATTTTGTCTTAAAAATACAGGAGAGCATTTATATTCCATGTTTGTACTGAGTTCCTCTTAGAAATCGTAATAATCTTTGGATATATCGCTTGTATACAAAAAAACCAACTAGCTTGATGTTGCATGTTTTTTTATCCTAGGTATTGATAATGGTAAGAATGCTAATTTTCTGTCTTTCCTGTAAGTCACGTTTGAATTGAATGAATGCAGTGTAGTAATTAGAATATTTTTATGAAGAGGTAATTGATTAATACAAGTGATTTTCATTTGATTTTTGTTGGATAATTTTTGATAAGGAGGCAAAAGAGATTTTAGACAACACATGCTTTTTGATGTCAAGAAGTTTAGGCTTGTTTGTTTATCTCCTATTATGTATATAATTTTGAGCTGTGTTACTAATGCTTTTTTATAATTGAGTTATTTGAAAGTATTGTAAATCAGCTGTTCACCTCAAGATTAGTCAATGGTTAAAAAAAGTGCAGACATGGAATTAAGTGAGGATTTTTTTTTTGAGTGCATTTATTTATCTCGTTGGTGCTATTTGTTCAGTTTATAATCTGGGCAAGTATTTAACCTCTGTTATAGCAGGGCTTCCTAGTGCTGCACTGGTTAACAGTGAATCTTTTTGATGGTCTTCAGGAGAGGGAAAAACTAAGTCGTTTTATGATACACCAGTGTTCCTTTCTAGATTCTTTCTGTTTGAGTCTCCAGCCTCCTGACCTCTTGTCGTCTTGCCCTTCCATGTCTTTGTAAGAGGCTTAATAAATAATAAGTTTGAGACTATAAAATTTTATAAGACAACCACTTCTGCTTTGTGTCATCCCCGTCTTTACCCAGTCCTTATTGTTTACTGCCAATTCCCGTTCAGCTTTTGTTGTTGTTTTTCCAGTTGAATGACTGTCTCAGTCTGTTTCGATCTACGTCTTATATGTGGTTTTTACCATTATACTATTCAAGGCAATAGTGTAATTTCACATAAGCAAATATAATATCATCGTTAGTTGTTCTTTAGGCCAGTTGTTATTCTTCAGAAAACCCATTCAACATTGCCTTTTACTTAATGTTGTTAACACTCAAAGAAGAAATAATATAATCTCGAAGTAAAATGAATTTAAATTAAATTGCATTAGCTTAAAACTTTCTCTAGTTTCTTTATTTTTATTTCTTCTCACATCTCTCTTTATTTGGGTAATATGTAAAGTATAGAAGAGTTCTCTTGTATCGATATTCTTAACAGTGTATTTGCCAAGGGGAAAAATGAGTATAGTTAAGTAATTGTACTTTTTAGTTTCCTTGAATTTTCAAAAATAGAGTCTAAATTTTCTTGCTGCATGCCAAATGTATTTGGCCTATATAATGTGCAAGTTAGATTAGCTATAATTTATGTGTTCACAGCACAACAAAACTGGTATAAAAGGCATTGTACTATATAAAATTGCTCTAAACCATAAAATCTCAGCACAAGCAAATTGCATTATGTCTAACTTCCTAAGGTTTTTTTCTTTTACTACCCCGCCCCAAGACTTTTAAAATAAAATACATTTGAAACCAGCAAGGTGATTGTGAGGAAAAGAAAAAAAGACTCAAGTAAACATGAAAGTGTCCTATATTTTGAACTTATAGTGATGACATTAGTCATTGAGACAAGGTTAATACATAGCATGTTTTAACAGGACAGCAGGGAGATACATAATACTTCTCAAATTCTTAAAATTAAAATAAGGGTAAAATTTTTAAAGTTGGTACTTAAGGACCTACAAAATTCCTAACAATGGTATTAAAAAATCTTACCTATAGGGGCCGGCCGAGTGGCGTAGTGGTTAAGTTTGCACACTGCACTTCAGTGGCCTGGGGTTCGCGGGTTCAGATCCCGGGCATGGACCTACACCCTGCTCATCAAGCCATGCTGTAGCAATGTCCCACATACTAAATAGAGAAAGATTGGCACAGATGTCAGCTCAGCAACAATCTTCCTCACCAAAAATAAAATAAAATAAAATAAAATCTTAGTGTAAAAAGTTCCCTCCTATAAGTCATTGCAGCTGAATTTTATAGATTATCTTGGGTTTTCCTCTCAGCCCAGTATTTGGATTAGTAGAACTAAAAACTTCAGAATCTGTGTGATTTATTGCCTTCCTGTTCGAGTAGCCTCAGGATAGTTGAGGATCTACATCTGTGCTCTCCAGTTCAGTATCCACCAGCCACATGTAGTTACTGAGCACTTAAATGTGGCTAATCCAAGTTGAGGTGTGTGCTGTAAGTGTAAAATAAAATAGATGCTGGATCTGAAATGTTAATATTTTTAAAAAAATTAAAACATCTCAATTTTTATGTTGATTATAGGTTTTAATTATATTGTAGATACATTGATTGGGTTGACTGTGTTATCAAAATTAGTGTTACCTCTATTTTTGTTTTTTAAAATGCAGCTACTAGAAAATTTAAAATTATAAATGTGGCTTGCATTTGTATGTCTGTTGAATAGCACTGCTCTAGACAGATTTGGAATAAGACCTGTTTTTACCTTTTAAGAAACTAGGAGACTACAGCCAAAACCAGTAGCCGCAAGTATAAATGGCGACAGTCAGTACCTGAAATGCTTGGTGAGGTCTTGATCTGAAACAAGAAGTATTTCTACTGCACCCAAGCCTAAAACCTATCTGGTTACATTGCCTTTTAAAACACTGTGAGCACAAAATAACCAACCAAAGGTACCTGTCATCTGCCATTTGAGAACTGTTGGCTTAAAAAGGAAGAACAGAGGGAGTGGGTATTTATGGAGGGCCTTTAGTGCCTTTCCTACTAGAGTCAGAGCCTTAAGTCAGTCCTAAAGGAACATGATATTTCCGTTTCTTTAATCACTGGTAGGGGTAGGGACTCATGTTTAGATGATAACAGGAGCTGCGACTATATTTCACTGACCTGTTTGCCAAAGCCATCAACAAGCTCTGTAGAGACATGATTAATGCCTCCCAATTTGAGTAAAGGAGCAAAAATAAAGAGGAAAGTGAAAGGTTTAAAAGCCTTGCGGTCTTGATCTTTTGTTTTTTTTGGTTTTTGAAAGATTACATTTGGAATTTAAATATATATATGTACACATATATGTATATTGTACATATGTATATATTAGTTCTGTGTCAGCATAGTGGTTTTTTTTGTTTGTTTTTTGTTTTTTTGTGTTTTTTTTGCTTTAAAAAAATGTCCATTTTATTGCAGATGGAGTCCGCACGTAAGGCATGGGAGAATTCGCCAAATGTAAGGGAAAAGGGATCCCCAGTAACTTCCACAGCACCTCCAATTGCAAGTGGAGTCAGCAGTAGCGCCAGTGGGCCAAGCACTGCTAATTATAATTCATTCTCAAGTGCATCAATGCCTCAGATTCCTGTTGCTTCAGTCACTCCCACAACATCACTATCAGGTAGAAGTTTTTTGTACCTTTCCTTAAATTATTTAAAATTTCTTATGATCTTTTTCTGTTTACTGTCCCCCAGAAAAAAGACGTAAGATTGCACATGAGATAATTATTGACTGTTTTTTAAACTTCTTGCCACTCTTGCCCCCTCTCCTCTTTGCTCTCTCCCAGTTTTAGTTGGTTTGGCAAATATTTTCTGATGGCTTACTAAAACGCTTTGCTGGACCTTCTCTCCCCCCCGCCCCCCCGATAGTAATAAGTAATTGGTGAAAAACTCTTTATCTTGTTCCTCTAAATTTTTCTATAAAATTCACCTTTTGATCCTTATTTTTTAACTCTTATACAGCTAATTAAACTAACGGAGAAATAACACAGAATCGTGAAGCTTTTAAATTTTTTTCAATCTGTATCTAATTTGAAGGAGCTATTGGCCTAAATCTATTTGGTTGACATATATTTTCTGGTGAAGAATTTAGGGGTAGAGAATTTCTAGTGTCTGATATGTGAGTAGATGACATCCACTGGTTTTTGTTTTTGTTCTGTTTATTTGTGTTTAAGGAGAGTCCCTCAGCACCCCAAATTAGAAAGTGTTTTTCTTCCTTAAATTTTTCACCAATGTGTAATCCTTTCATTGCACTGTATCTCGTTTTGGAGGCTTTACAATTCTTCTTAAGTGATCAGAGAGGATATTTCTAAAATGCTTGACTCAAGGAAAGTATACCCTTTACCATATGTATAACCATGTTTCTTCTATTGAAAACAAATTTTATGGGCCGGCCCTGTGGCTTAGCGGTTAAGTGCGTGCTCTCTGATGCTGGCGGCCCGGGTTCGGATCCCGGGCGCACACCGACGCACTGCTTCTCCGGCCACGCTGAGGCCGCGTCCCACATACAGCAACTAGAAGGATGTGTAGCTATGACATACAAGTATCTACTGGGGCTTTGGGGCGAAAATAAATAAATAAATCTTTAAAAAAAAAAAAAAAAGAAAGAAAACAAATTTTATTTCAGGCTTTCCCAATATTCTCTAATGTTTCCAAAGCAGTAGGAAGCTCCTTTCCAATAGATATAAAATATATCCAGCACATAATTTACTTTCTTTGGTTCTCATTTAGTGATTACAGTACTATTTTTCAATATTCTGACATTCTGTGTTGGGTTTAAGTACCAAAAGAACTGGTCTTTGGGTTGTACTACAGTTATTTTCATATTATCTGGAATCAGATGTATTAAGACAAGCTCAGAGAGTCAAATCAGAGAATTTTTCCAACTATAATTCTTACTTCTTTAAAACCCTCTCAAGCATTCCCCACCACCCATTGCAAGGCATCTTCATTGTGCTGACTAGCTTGGGCCCCAGTCTACTTGGGTGGGTAGGGGGTGGGGCCAGAAGGGAACCAAGAGGAGAGTATGCTAGGAAGATTAGGAAATAAAGAGACTGGGAAGTTTATAGGACTCTTTTGGAGCAATTATGATCTCTTAAGGCCAATTTACATTAATAATTATTCTTAAGGTACAGCACTTTATCCTTCTATGTTCTTGTGTCTATGCCTGGCCTTTAGTAGATGTTCAAATATTTGTTAATAAATGAATGAAGCTGTTGATTATCCTTTTCTTTGTGATGATTAAAAACTAAATATTAGTTTGAGGCTAAACTATGATAACCTTATAGGCTCTCAGCCTCCTTATTTTGTTTTATTTTTTAATTTCCTCCTTGTTTTAATTTTCTATTGTTTGTATTTCTCCAAATTTTATAGTCTTGTTTGTATTTGGTTATGTGTTCTTTCCTTTTATAAGCCACCTCATAGCCACTTTTGGCCTGAGGTGCAGTATATAAGTACATGGTAGACATAAACATTATTTTCCATTTTCTGGTTGGTGCTTGAACTATTTTACTGTGAACAACGGCAACACTTTAAAATATCCTGCACTTTCCCCTTATTTTATCCCTCTCCCATATATAGGAGCTGGTACATATACTACCTCTTCCTTGAGTACAAAATCTACAACCACATCAGACCCTCCTAATATTTGTAAAGTGAAACCCCAACAATTACAGACAAGCAGCCTGCCTTCTGCAAGTCATTTTTCACAGTTAAGCTGTATGCCTTCCCTTATTGCCCAGCAACAACAGAGTCCGCAAGTCTATGTGTCTCAGTCTGCAGCAGGTAAGATTTTTAGGGTTAAATATAGGGAATCTAGAAAATGAAGACTTGTTTAAATGCTTATTTTTTCTCTTCTTACTCTTTCAAGTTTAAGTATTTTTGATCTGCTTTACAAATTTGTTTCCTCATAGAATTGAATACTATCTCTCCTTGATAAGCATTGTAGGGCTCTCAGCAGTTGTTTCTTACACATTACATATATATTAGACAAAGTAGTGTCTAATAATTTGCAAAGTAACTTATGCATTTGATGTTATTCTAATCAAACTGGAAAAGTTTGTTATCTGAATCTTGACAAATTGATAGTAAAGTTCATGGGGAAGAATAAACCTAAGAATAGCAAAGAAGAAAAAAATTATATATTGGGGGTCGGGTAACTTGTCCTACTAAACATCACAATGTTGATCTGAGTTAAATAGTAAATAAACATGTGAAAAATATTCAAACTCACTAATGATTTAAATTTAAAATAAAAGAGCAATGAGGCTATTTTTTGCCTTTCCATGTGGGGACTATTACAAAGATTGATAATACCCAGCATCTTTAATACCTAGTATCTGTAGGGATCATGGGTATTATTAATAGGCTTTTGAAGTACATTGCTGGTGAGCATGTAAATTGGCATAATTCTTTTAGAAAAGTAACTCAAAATATTTTATGTGTACAAATTCACTGTAGTAACAATTTCATAGTTAGGAATCGTATCATACAGATAAACTTATTAATCAGAGATATATGTATGAGGGTGTTCATTTACTGCAGTATTGTTTATAATTGTAACAAATTAAAAACGATATGGGAAGTTCTCTAAAACAGATTATATGAAAACAGCAAATCACAAAATAATATGTGTAATACATAGAAATCTTTTAGAAATCTATATCAAATTCTTTCAATTATTAAATGTCAAATCTTTTGAAATACTTTGCAAAATTCTAGTAGGTAGATTTAAAATTGAAGTGGATTTGCTGGTAAACGAGTAGGTTCATTTTCAATTTTAGTAGATTATGTAAAATTTTACTAGTTTATACCCCATTGGCAGTATATGAGAGTATCTGTTTTTTCATACCTTCACAAGTACTAGAGTTTCGCATTTTAGTTTGCATATACTTGTCTGCTAGAAGTTTAGCATCCTTTTGCATTTGCATCTTTTCACATTTCTAGTTTTTCCTTGGCTGTATTAATTTTCAGAGGGCTCACTTAATTTGAAATCTCCTACAAAACTTGGCTTTTAGTTACTGTTTGGAAAATTCTGAAATTTAGACACTTATTACCGCTTGTTTTTCCTGGTGATCTGTAGCTCAAATTCCGGCTTTCTATATGGACACAAGTCATTTATTCAATACCCAACATGCACGATTGGCTCCACCATCCTTGGCTCAGCAACAAGGCTTCCAACCAGGTCTTTCTCAGGTAAATATCGCAGACTTCTTCCATCCTGTATTTGTTTCTTGGCAGTTTTATGTTGTAATACTTACGTTGGGCTACAAATAAATAGGCTCTTTGAAGTTATAATCTTATATTAACAATGTTGGACAACTCATGATTACCTTGATAGGTATTAGCAAAATTTTAAAACTTTCCCAAATTTGCCACAGCTTAATGGTTAACAATGTAGAATAGGTAATGGGTTGAAAGGAAAATTTAGATGTTTACATTTGGTTTTGTTTTAAAAGGGATCCTAACATGGCATTAATCTTTCATTCTTTTCATATCTCAAAATTTTTATTTTCTCAAGTGTTGTGATTTGTGTATATGGTGCTCATATGTTGTTTTTTCATTTCGTTGCAGCCAACTTCAGTTCAGCAGATTCCAATCCCTATTTATGCACCACTGCAGGGACAGCATCAAGCCCAGCTGAGTCTGGGTGCTGGACCTGCTGTTTCCCAGGGCCAGGAATTATTCAGTTCTTCACTTCAACCATACAGGTACATGCTATACAATGATATGTGATGTTGGAAACAATGTAATTGCTGAGCCTTCTTGCCATATCCGTACTGCTCCTTCCTTCCCCTCAAAAGCTAGGATGACCCTGTTATAAACTACATTAAATAATAAAGCATGTTGATTATATGTCGTGAACCTCAGCCTCTAGTAATTTCAGTCAGATTTTATTGAACAAAGTCAAGCCTCAAAGCCTCTTGAAGAAGAGGGTAACAACAATTTAGAAATCATAGAAAGTAGCTGCTAAAGGACCTAAAAGTTTAAGTGCCGTCTATGTCACTGCTAACAACTATAAATCCAAGCCTGCTCTGTGTAAGAGCTGAGGTGTGGCAGCTAACGACAGTATGTAAGGGGGTGGAGGCCAGGGCAGAAAGTAATAAAAGAGAGAGGAATAGTAGAGTGTCAGACAAAGAATAGAAGTAGTGGTGATAGTGATGACAAGTATGCTGTGTAGTGTAGAAGAAACCGCTCTTTTGAAAGATTTGCTGTAAATTAATTTTGCAATTAGGGAGGTAATGAAAACTGATATTTATTGACCTTTCCTTATATATGATAGCCATTCAGCCCTTTACATACGTTAACGTATTTAATTTAGTCTTCACAAAACCATTTAAGGTAGATTAAGTCATCCCCATTTGTCATATGAGGAGGTTGGTACTTGAAGAGGTTGGGGTTTTTACCTAATGTTACACTACAAATAAGTGTGTCTCATCTCCAACTTAATGAGAGTGGAAGGGTGAGGGTAAGAACCAAATGATAGCAGTGATCATGGTTGTCATCAATACTCATGGTAATGGCCCTCAACCATCAAAAAGAAAAATAAATTACTTTCAGGACATTTAGTTTAAGAAGGTTGTAAAGTTATGCATTTGCTGTTAGAAATTTGTTTTTTGGAGTGATTCAGATAGAATATCCATGCTTTATAGATTAAACTTGGCATCACTTGATACAGCTCCTTTTAGATTACATAAATTATATTACTAAAGAAGCTAGGTACGGCTAATTAAACTTTCTCAAAAATGCAGAATTATTAGTACACTGAATACATGTGGCTCTCACTTTTGTTTTTTGATTAAAGAGTCTTCAATAGAATTTAGTACACCTGTATAATTAGTTATATATTATATTTTATTTTCTGGTATTACTCTGTCATTTAGTTTGGTTATTATAAGAAATTCCCTCCTAGTACAAGTGAAACTATTTGCCCCCCAACTAGAACTTAGAGGCAGTCTGTTTCATATTATTAAATTTGGGATTATCTTGGAATTTGTGGTAACAATAAAACTTTAAAATTTCTAATCCAGAAATAGCAAACAGCTTTAATGTCACAAAACAGTCTCCTTTAAATTGGTATTGGCTGCTTGAAACATTGTTGACAAGTTTGCAGGTACTTCCCAGCTCCATGAAAAAAAAGTTCAGTGAATGTTAATGTCTTCCATAGCCATGGGAGATGGAGAGCAAGGCAATGACATTCTTTATTTGTAATTCCCATTTTAGCAATTGCCTTGGAAGCTGTACTTTTTAAGACCAAACCTGTTCAACAGAAATATAATGTAAGCTATATATGTAATTGTGGCTAATGGCTACTCTATTGAAAGGCACAGGTTTAGACATTGAAAGCAGTTTGTATCCCTGCCACATCATTCTGCTACTCCTTGCCTCTCAACCTAATCAGTGTAGTGTTTATTAGTAGGGAATCTCTGAATTAATTTCTGGCAGCACAAGGTAGTTTATAACAGTATGCTTATGTTTTCTCATTTTATATCTGAAACATAAATTATAAGTAGACGTTGTGAAGATTACTTATGACCCCAGCAAATGCTCTTGCTTTATGGCTTTTGTTCCTGCTACGTATGTCAGTTTTTTAAAAAGCATATTATTTATTGATAATATTAGCTTTAATTCGCTACTTTGATTTAGTTACTTACTCTTTATCTTAACATTTTTAAAAGTATAAGATTGGAGGCCTCCATCCCAGAGATAGTAGTACAGTCTGATTAGGTTCCAATGTTGTAATTAAAAAAGAAAAGAAAAGAAAAAACCTTTCAAATATGCAACACAGTATTATTAACTATTGTCACCATGCTGTACATTTCATCCCCATGACTAATTTATTGTATAACTAAAAGTTTGTGCCCTTTGACCATAATACTGTGTTGGATATTTGAAAGTCGCTAAAAGTAGGTCTTAAAAGTTATGATCACAAGAAAAAAAAATTTTTATAACTACACATGGTGATGGATGTTAACTAGATTTATTGTGATGATCATTTTGCAATATGTACAAATACCGAACCATTATGTCATGCAACCAATTAATGTTATACGTCCAATATAAACGAACAAACAACTTGGTGAGTAATCCTGATGTGAACTACTCTGCTTCATTCCATAGAGGTCTTGAAGCCTCTAATAAGACATATGTATAAAGGGGAAGTGATGAAATACAAATAATAATAAGTCAGAGCTATTGGTGCTATAAATGTGAATAGAATGTTAATACTGAAGAGAAAAACAGCAGATTTGGTGCTGAACTTGATAGTGAACATGTGAAAAGAGAATTATTCTCATTGTTCAAGAAGAGCAAATCTTACCAGTTTCTCAGGAAGAGCAAGCATTTTTCCAGAACTTTTACATGTGGAGCTTTGTTGTACCCAGGGCTCTAAATCTTGAAACAAGTGCCTTAGAGTCTGTATTCTCTGCTTCTTTTCTTAATTGTGCTAATTAGAGTACTTGGTCATTTGGGATACTCATTCTTATGGTTTCCAGATTCCAGAGAGAATTAACTGCTAACACAAGCCTTTTCTCTTTAATACTTACATAGATCTCAGCCAGCCTTTATGCAAAGCAGCCTCTCCCAGCCGTCTGTGGTCCTGTCTGGTACTGCCATCCACAACTTTCCAGCTGTGCAACACCAGGAACTTGCCAAGGCACAGTCGGGTCTTGCCTTTCAACAAACTTCAAATACTCAGCCTATTCCTATATTATATGAACATCAGCTGGGTCAGGCATCAGGACTAGGAGGTTCCCAGCTGATTGATACACATCTTCTCCAGGTAAGGCTGGGATAATATGTACTGTCATTGTATTCCTATACAGCAGATTATTTAAGGAAACGGATTTTAAAGAAAAAAAATGTTAAAAGACAATGAAAAAACAAAGATCTTCCTTTTTATCTAATACTAAAATTCTTGGAGATTGCTTTGAAGCCATAACCTTGATATCTGAATTGGAAATTATTTCAGTCTTATTGCTGTTTTCTTACAAAATTTTTTCTAGGCTAGAGCGAATCTTACCCAGGCTTCAAATCTTTATTCTGGACAAGTACAACAGCCTGGTCAGACAAATTTTTATAACACTGCCCAGTCACCAAGTGCTCTCCAGCAGGTAAACTATGGCATGGTAAATTTCCTCAATTTTCTTCATTATTATTATTATTATTACTGCTTTTGTTGTTTGGGAATTTAGATAGGACCAAGATTGGAGATGGTGCAGTGATTTTCAGACTTTTCTCTGAGGTGTCCTAGGGAGTCCGTGGGTTCCACTCATAGTGGAATGTGCTTCAGTCCCACAACGCCCTTCTCCCCACCACTTCAATCAGTTCTGCTTTTTACCTCTTTTTTTTTTTAAATGGGTTTCCATGTAATCATTTATTTATTTTAACAAAGGGTTCCATGAATATAAAAGGTTGAAAACCGCTGTCCAGGATGTACAGTTATGTGTAAGTGTGGTAGGAGCTTTACCTGTTGGTACTAGAGGTGAAGGAAGGCTCTAAAGACCATCACAGTATTAATATAATACATAGGACTGTGTGCAAAGTATGACAGAGTACAAAGGACAAACACGTTTCTTAAATGTATGAATTAATAATTTACAGTGAAAATGTATGTTTTTTGAAACTATCTCCGCTAGCAATGTCATTAATCAGCTCTTTAAAAGTTGGTGGAGTTTTGGAGGAGAAAGGCAAGCCATTAGTCATTTTCTCATAAATATATTTGGTGACTATTTTAGAAGGGGTGATAATTCATAAATATATTACCTTATTGATATTCAAATTAAATGTTTGTATGAAAACTGAAAGATTATTTTTCTTCTTGTCATAGCTCATTTTGACCAGACCTGAAAACGGTATAAAAATGTGTATTTGCGAAGTTATGACTACTTTCCTAAATTGTATCCCCATAATTTTATTATATTTTGTGGTTATTTGACATATACTATAGATTAATTCAAAGATAGTCATAATTATTTCAGTTATATAGTTTCTCTCCTACTAATCTGTTGTGTTGTTGCACCTTTAGTAAAAGAATGGAGGTAGTCACTAAGCGAAAGATTTATATATGAAATATATTAATAGATTGATGTATTCTGTTTAAAATCTTACTCAAAAGTATTTGAAGAGTTGTGTATATAGTTACAGGGATATACGTACAACAGGTATAAGCAAATTGCTACAGTTTCTATTTGCTTATTTTCTAGGTTACAGTACCTTTACCAGCATCCCAGCTTTCCTTGCCTAATTTCGGATCTACGGGGCAGCCTTTAATTGCTCTGCCTCAGACTCTTCAGCCCCCATTACAGCATACCACCCCACAAGCACAGGCCCAGAGCCTGAGTCGTCCTGCACAAGTAAGCCAGCCTTTCAGAGGATTAATCCCTGCCGGAACACAGCATAGCATGATTGCAACCACAGGAAAAGTAAGTGAAGAGAAATTTACACAGTTTCTTTGAGAATTTAAAGCCATGTGTTCAGATATATGCATTTATGTAGTCAATAAAAACAAAATGCATCAGTTTTTACCACCCTTCAGGAAATCTCAAACCCCAATGTGCTTATTTTTTATCTACTTACTTTTTTTTTTTTTTTTTTTTGAAGATTTTATTTATTCATTTTTTCCCCCCAAAGCCCCAGTAGATAGTTGTATGTCGCAGGTTCACATCCTTCTAGTTGCTGTACGCGGGACTCGGCCTCGGGTTGGACGGAGATGTGGTGCCTCGGGGCGCACCCGGGATCCGAACCCGGGCTGCCAGCATCAGAGCGCGCGCACTTAACCGCTAAGCCACGGAGCCAGCCCCGATATCTACTTACTTTTAATGTGTTTGGCCCCCTCTGGTTTTTACCTAATAACAAAGAATTCACAAATTTTGTGGAAGAATTGGATTTACACAGTCTCTTAGACTTTTCAGCCACAAATTTGACCTTGATAATTCAGTGGTATTTAAAACCTAATAATAGAGTTTTTGTTCTAAGGGTCCTTGCCCTTTGCTAGATTAAGTCTTCATGTATACAATACTGAACACAGCACTTTAGCTTATGGAATTGCAGAAATGTTAAGTTTATTCTATGCTCTTTCTCAGATGTCTGAAATGGAACTCAAAGCCTTTGGAAGTGGCATTGATATAAAACCAGGCACACCTCCAATCAGCGGTAGAAGCACCACACCAACATCTAGTCCCTTCCGGTAAAATGGGCATTTAAATTTGTTTATAGAATTTCCACACAACTGAGCACTATTTGTTTGTTAGATACTTAATAGGTTACCAATCCTGTAGTAAGCACAAAACATTCTGATAATTTTATCTAAAATATTAAGCTATTAAGTTATTAAGAATGTTTTTGTTATACTGTATTTTAAGAAATTTTTTTTAATACAGGGCCAATCTAGCTAGTATCCTTTCTCACCTCTGCCCCTGCAATGTCTCTTCACTACCATGATGTTTGGTAACTCACCTTGGTAAGTTTTCATCAACTGCCAAGTCTGATGAATCTACCAAGAGCGATGTCTAAAAGTCTAAGTGTCATTTCCGTGGCCTTACAATACTGATCAGAGATGGCTTCTTTCCAAGGGCAACTTCCACAAGTCCGAACAGCCAGTCCAGCAAAATGAACAGCATTGTCTATCAGAAGCAGTTCCAGTCAGCCCCTGCCACTGTGAGAATGACACAACCATTTCCTACACAGTTTGCACCTCAGGTGGGCAGATATAAGTGAGATATAAGTATTATTTACTTGCACATGATTGCTAATCTGGCTAATCCTCTAATTTTATAATCTTGCCATATTATAACCAGTTTAGAAGCACAGTTTTTAATGAGAAACAGTTTCTTATTTAACAGTAAATTTATGACTTTAAATATATTCTCTGTAATTTTAGCTAGACACAGGTAGTAACTGTATAGTTCTAAAGCAGACAATAGAAATAGTCAAAAGGTTCCCCACACAGCTCTGACAAGTTATTTCAGTCCTGTTCCTTTTATCTTTTTGAAGAAGTTGACTTTTCAGAGAAGGGTCCCAGTGCTTAAAGGTTTAAAGTTGTTTTCTTGTTTTGTTTTGTTTTTTTTAAGATAACTATGTGTAGTTGAGGTAAAATATTCAAAAGATATGCTAATATATGTGTAAAAATGTTGGCTTCTCTTCCGTTTGCTGATCATATAGAAGGACTAACTAAAATTGATAAGAACCCTCACAAACTAGAATTGGTTCCTGAGAAAACACGTATTTGTTGAATTAGTATTATTTTTATTCAGATTATGTTTGGTATAGCTGTGTGCCTTTTCTGCAATTATATCTTTTTTAAAAAATATCCTAATTAATAGTCTTTCTATCTCCCCTTCAGAATTTGTAGCTGAAATGCTAGAACCAACGGAAGTGCCATAGCATGCTTTGCCTAATTTTCCTGTTAGATTCTCCAAGCATGGCCCGTTTGTTTTTGGTCCCTGTAAAATGGCACAGATCTGTTCGCGTCCTTTCACTGGCAGAATGGGCACAGATTTACTCTGAGATAAGCCAACCTGGTCTAGTTGGCAAATTTTTTTTTTTAACAGTTCAATGTTGTATGTTTTGTTTTTTCACTCAGATTCTCTCTCAGCCTAACCTGGTCCCTCCATTGGTAAGAGCCCCACATACTAACACCTTCCCAGCGCCTGTTCAGAGGCCACCAATGGCACTGGCCAGTCAGATGCCTCCTCCGCTGACCACAGGCCTCATGAGCCATGCTCGTTTGCCACATGTAGCCAGGGGTCCTTGTGGATCACTATCTGGAGTCAGAGGTAATCAGGCCCAGGCTGCGTTGAAGGCTGAACAAGACATGAAGGTTAGTACAGTGTTAACAGCCAACAGAGCAAGAATCTGTCTCTGAACCATGTCTTAAGATGCCTCTGGACCCATAACCGTATATCCAGGCATTCATTGTCTTGGCAGACTTAACCAAGCTAACTACTTTTATTCATTACTTTTTTTTTTTTTTTTTTTTTTTTTTTTTTTTTTTTTTCCCCCTTATTCCCCCTACTTTTTTCCTCTTTTTTTTTTTTTTCTTTTTTATTTTTTTTCTTTTTGCATC